TGGCAGAGTCTCCTTCTCTGCAGTTTTTAAGCAGAGGCTGTCAAGGTGGGGTGTTTTGATTGACTTGGACTGGATGACCCATAAAGTCCTTTACAACTACAATTCTATGATCCTATGGATTTATTTATTTATTCTATGGATGAGATGGGGGGAAAAGAAACAAATAATAGAACTATCTCATAGCCAGGGGCAATTTAAAGATGGGCTTAAAACTAACCTTTAAAAAAAGTGGTATAAACACCAAGAACTGGGAAGCCCTGGCCCTTGAAGGTTCAAATTGAAGGTCAGCTGTTTCCAGTGGTGCTATGGACTTTGAAGAGGCATGAATAGAGGACAAAAGGAAGGAATGTTTCAAGATGAAGGTGCGTCAAGCAAACCACCTTCCATCTGGAAATCTATGTCCTCAATGTGAAAAACCACATGGATTCTGGATAGGTCTTCACAGTAGTTTATAGACCCACTGCCAAGACTCTACCTCTGGAAGATAATCATATTCGGCCACAAGCAATGACTCATGATGATAATGATATGACAATATTGCTGCAGAAAGAAACCAGAAGAAAATATTCTGTTATGAAAAGTTCGTATGGATTGAAAATTTGTTGGCCCACAAATTCATAAAGATGATCACTGACCAGTTTCTATAGGCTCTAACCCAGACCTTAGAGGTTGAAGACTCAGGCTGGATCTACACTGCCCTTTATGCAAGCATCTGACCCCAGATTATCTGCTTTTTTCCAGATTATTTGGCAATGTAAACTCATATAATCCAGTTTAAAGTAGATAATCTGGGATCTGATCCTGGGATTCAGGCCCCTTCTACACTGCTATATATAAAATCCAGATTATCTGTATTGAACTGGATTATATGGCAGTGTAGAAGGGGCCATAGACTAGTTTGGCAACATCCATTCCACAGGTTGAGCTCCCATGCCCATGTTTGTCAAAGTATTATATGGCATTGTAGAAGGGGGCCATAGAGCAGGTTAAATTCAGCCTTAAACTGGACCTACGCTGCCCTATGTCCTGGGATCTGATCCCAGACTATCTGAGTCTACACTTCCATATATATATGTCAAAATATCTAATGTGAGGCAATGTTTTTCCTAATGTGACTACTATGGGCCCTTCCACACAGTCACATAATCCAGAATATCATGGCAGAAAATCCCACAATATTTGCTTTGAACTGGGTTATCTGAGTCCACACTGCCATATATTCCAGTTCAAAGAAGATAATGTAGGATTTTATTTAGATGTGTGGAAGGGCCACTGATATTCCAGTCCAAAATCCATTGAATCATGGCAGCTGATGGCCCACTGATAGGTGTCACTAGTCCTTCTACTTTCTGGGTTCTAGTGCTAGTGCTCAGTTTAGTACTATGTGCATACCTTAGTAATAATTCTGGTAACAAATGTTACATCTAATAATAACAACAAAAACAACAGCAACAGAACAAGAACAGGACCTCTGACCTCACAGTATGTCTTTTGTATTCTCAAAAGTATTTGGTGCCCTCTAGAGTTGTAAGCGCTCCATGCAGTCATGCTGGCCACATAACCTTGGAGATGTCTACAGACAACGCTGACTCTTCGGCTTAGAAATGGAGATGAGCACCACACCCGAGTCAGACACGACTGGACTTAATGTCAGGGGAAAACCTTTACCTTTACCTAAGAGTTGCAAGGCATTTTCTCTGAAACAGCACAAGAGGATGGTATCTAGTTTAGTTGTAATTCCTCCACATTCATGGTTTTGACTTTTGCTAACAGCTGATATGCTGTTAGGAATTGTGGGCATTGAAGTCCAAAACACCTGGAGGGTCAAAGTTTGCCAATGCCTGATCTACACTATACTTACTTATTTACTTAGGCGATCCCTCGTCGTCCGAGTAGGATTGTCTTCCAAGATCGGTGTACTGGTAGATAACTGTGGAGTCCTATTCCTAATCTGCATGTTCTCTTCCAGTGAGGGCACTGGTTTCCAGGTAGAAGGCGGTCCCGGTCGGGGTTGGCTTGACGTACCTTCCTCTTGGCATTTTTTTCTATACCAGTTTTTAAGGTTGGCTTTGAGCCCATCTTTAAATCTTTTTTCCTGCCCACCAACGTTCTGTTTTCTGGTCTTGAGTTCAGAGTAGAGCAACTGCTTTGGGAGACGGTGGTTGGGCATCCGGACAACGTGGCCAGTCCAGCGGAGTTGAAGGCGGAGGACCATCACTTCAGTGCTGGTGGTCTTTGCTTCTTCCAGCACACTGACATTTGTCCGCTTGTCTTCCCAAGAGATTTGCAGGATTTTCCGGAGGCAGCGCTGATGGAATCGTTCCAGGAGTTGCATGTGACATCTGTAGACAGTCCACGTCTCGCACAGGCATATAGCAGGGTTGGGAGGACAATAGCTTTATAAACAAGCACCTTGGTATCCCTACGGATGTCCGGGTCCTCAAACACTCTCTGCTTCATTTGGAAAAAAGCTGCACTTGCGGAGCTCGGGCGGTGTTGTATTTCAGTGTCAATGTTGACTTTTGTGGAGAGGTGGCTGCCAAGGGCGAAAATGGTCAACATTTTCTAATGTTACACCATTAAGCTGTATTTCTGGCATTGGAGAGGGATTGGCTGGTGACTGCTAGAAGCACTTTGGTTTTCTTGATGTTCAATGACAGGCCGAGCTTCTCGTATGCTTCTGCGAAGGTGTTTAGAGTGGCTTGTAGATCTTCTTCTGAATGTGCACAGACGACATTGTCATCAGCATACTGGAGTTCTATAACAGATGTTGTAACCTTGGTTTTGGCTTTCAGTCTGCTGAGGTTAAACAGCTTGCCATCTGTCTGATAGATGATTTCCACTGGTGGGAAGCTTCCCATCAACAAGATGAAGTATCATAGTGATGAAGATGGAGAATAAGATTGGGACAATAACACATCCCTGTTTGACACCTGATTCCACCTTAAATGGGTCACTTTGGGAGCCATTGCTGTCCAAGACTGTTGCCATCATGTCATCATGGAGGAGCCGCAGGATGTTCACAAATTTGCTGTTGGTTGTTGTTCATTCGTTCAGTCGTCTCCGACTCTTCGTGACCTCATGGACCAGTCCACACCAGAGCTCCCTGTCGGCCGTCACCACCCCCAGCTCCTTCAAGGTCAGTCCAGTCACTTCAAGGATGCCATCCATCCATCTTGCCCTTGGTCGGCCCCTCTTCCATTTGCCTTCCACTTTCCCCAGCATAATTGTCTTCTCTAGGCTTTCCTGTCTCCTCATGATGTGGCCAAAGTACTTCAACTTTGTCTCTAGTATCCTTCCCTCCAGTGAGCAGCCGGGCTTTATTTCCTGGAGGATGGACTGGTTGGATCTTCTCGCAGTCCAAGGCACTCTCAGCACTTTCCTCCAACACCACAGCTCAAAAGCATCGATCTTCCTTCGCTCAGCCTTCCCTAAGGTCCAGCTCTCACATCCGTAGGGGACTACAGGGAATACCATGGCTTTGACTAGGCGGATCTTTGTTGCCAGTCTGATGTCTCTACTCTTTACTATTTTATCGAGACTGGACATTGTTCTCCTCCCAAGAAGTAAGCGTCTTCTGATTTCCTGGCCACAGTCTGCATCTGCAGTAATCTTTGTGCCTAGAAATACAAAGTCTGCCACGGCCTCCACATTTTCTCCCTCTATTTTCCAGTTGTCAGTCATTCTTGTTGCCATAGTCTTGTTTTTTTTTTTTTTTTTTTTGAGGTTTAGCTGCAATCCAGCTTTTGTGCTTTCTTCTTTCACCTTGATTAGAAGGCTCCTCAGCTCCTCCTCGCTTTCGGCCATCAGAGTGGTGTCATCTGCATATCTGAGGTTGTTAATGTTTCTTCCAGCAATTTTCACCCCAGCTTTGCATTTATCAAGCCCCGCACATCGCATGATGTGTTCTGCATACAAATTAAAAAGGTTGGGTGAGAGTATGCAGCCTTGCCGTACGCCTTTCCCAATCTGTTGTTCCGTGGTCAGTTCTGACTGTTGCTACTTGGTCCTTGTACAGATTCCTCAGGAGAGAGACAAGGTGGCTTGGTATGCCCATCCCACCAAGAACGTGCCACAATTTATTATGATCCACACAGTCAAAGGCTTTAGAAGAGTCAATGAAGCAGAAATAGATGTTTTTCTGAAACTCCCTCCTTTTCTCCATTATCCAGCGGATATTGGCAATCTGGTCAAAATAAATAACAAAATTAATTTGTTAGGGCACCTGATTTTTTTGGAGGATGGTCCAGAGAGCACTGCGATTCACTGTGTTGAATGCCTTTACAAGGTCAATGAATGCCATGATCTACACTATAGAATGAATGCAGTTTGATACCAGTTTCAATGCTATGGGATCCTGGGAATTGTAGTTTGGTGAAGAACCAGCACTCTTTGGCAGTGAAGATGAAAAACCCAGTAAAACTACAACTCCTGGAGTCCCATGGTATTGAGCATTGGCAACTAAAGCAGTGTCAAGCTGCATTCATTCAAGTGTGGACGACTTCCTAAAATGCTGAAGGATTCCCAGACCCAGGTGAGTCCAGGTGGCTCTTGGGGGCGGAGAGAAGTCAACCTAATTTTTCTATTGGCTGCTTGTCAAAGACTTCTCCTGCCTCCGACCAATCATAGGCCTCTGAAAATAAATCCCGCCCCTCATTAAGCCCTGCGCGTCGGGATGTTTGTTTGTTTCTTCTCTCTTCTCCCTCGCAATCCTTTCCTATCAATCCGCGGGAGGCGTGACGTCGTTCTCAACGCCCATTGGCGAGAGTTCAAATCAATCTCCAGTTCCGCGCAAACCGATTGGGCCTCGACCTGGCGTCCGTCATTGTCAAAACTCTTCATTTCTATTGGTTCAACCGGGACACTCGAAAAAGAAGGCGGCGATTGGCGGGAAGGGATGTCAATCGTGCCGAAGGCGGCTACGTGAGTCAAGATGATGGAAGCTGATTGGTTACTCTCTAAAAATGCAGAGCAGGGATTGGCCACCCGTCAGAGGAATAGGCGGGCCTTGCAGGGCGGTGCCCGGGCTGCTGAGGAGGAGGAAGATGGCGCCGTGAGGGGGGTCCGAGCTGCTGCCGCCTCCTCTTCCCCGCCGGTGAGTGAGCCTAGCGGGGCGGGCTTCAGGCCCTGAGGAGGGGAAAGCGGTCCCGAGAAGTGGGAGTGGAGTCGCGAAGGGGAAAAAGGAGGGCCCCGTGGAAAGGGAGGGGGCTCCGAGGGAGGGGGCCCGGCGCGCGCGAAGGGGGCTGAAGCAACTGGGACCGGAAGGGGGCGGGGCCAAGCGGAGAGCCCGCCTCCTCGGGGACCCGTCAGAATCAGGCGGGCTTCGGGGCAACCAGCGTGCCTAGGGTTCAAAGGGCAGCGAAGGGATCCCGCTCAAGACTGATATCCTTCTGGCAGGCTTTCATGGCCGGAATCACTGGGTTGATATCAGTTTTCCGCCCTGTAGGGCCATGTTCCAGAAGCATTCTCTCCTGACGCTTCACCTGCATATATGGCAGGCATCCTCAGAGGTTGTGAGGTCTGCTGGAAACTAGGAAAATGGGGTTTATATATCTATGGAATGTCCAGGGTGGGAGAAAGAACTCTTGTCTGTTGGAGGTAGGTATGAATGTTTCAATTGGCCACCTTCATTATTTATTTATTTACTGTATTTGTATAATAATAATAATAATAATAACAACAACAACAACACTTTATTTGAACTCCGCTACCGGTGGCGCAGTGGGTTAAAGCACTGAGCTGCTGAGCTTGTTGACCAAAAGGTCGCAGGTTCGATTCCAGGGAGCGGCATGAGGTTCCGCTGCCAGCCCTAGCTTCTGCCAACCTAGCAGTTCAAAAACATGCAAATGTGAGTAGATCAATAGGTACCGCTCCGGCGGGAAGGTAACGGCGCTCCATGCGGTCATGCTAGCCACATGGCCTTGGAGGTGTCTATGGACAACGCTGGATCTTCGGCTTAGAAATTGAGATTAGCACCACACCCCAGAGTCAGACATGACTGGACTTAATGTCAGGGGACAACCTTTACCCTACCATTTCCCCAAGGGACTCGGTGCGGCTTACATGAGGCCGAGCCCAAACACAACAATGCAAGCAATAATCACAACAATACAAGCAATTAAAATAAAACATACATGATAAACATATAACATTATCAAGAAGACAACATAAAATTAAAAACTATGCCACCTTTCTCAGCCCGTAGGTGATTCAAGGCGGTTAACAGGGCAAAATTCAATGCTTACAATGTCATAAATACAATTAAAAACATAACATATAATAAACACCAACAAATCTATATAAATAAAAATGTAATGTTGGTTTGTGGGATTAACAACTCAAAAACCACTGGACGAATTGACACCAAATTTGGACACAAGACACCTAACAATCCAATGTATGTCCTTCACTCAAAAAATTGATTTTGTCATTTGGGAGTTGTAGTTGCTGGGATTTATAGTTAAACTACCATCAAAGAGCATTCCGAATTCCACCAATGATGGAATTTGGCCACACTTAACACACAGGGCTCCCATGACAGAAAAAACTGGAAGGGTTTAATGGGCATTGGCCTTGGGTTTGGGAGTTATAGTTCACCTACATCCAGAGAGCACTGTGGGCTCAAATAATGATGGATCTGGACCAAATTTGGCATGAATATTCCATATGCCCAAATATGAACACAGATGGAGTTTGGGGGACATAGACATTGACATTTGGGACTTTTAGTTACTGGGATTTATAGTTCACCTACAATAAAAGAGCAGTCTGAATCCCAACAACAACAGAATTGGGGCGAACTTTCCACACAGAACCCCCATGACCAACAGAAAATACTTAAGGCCATCCAGTCCAACTCCCTTCACCAGGGGAAGAAAATATAATCAAAGCCCTCCTGACAAAGAGCCATAGATATAGATAGATATATTTGATTCACACACAGGGAGATACAGTATCATAGATCTGAAAGGGACCTCTAAAGAAGGACAATTATATGTTGCATGTTCCAGAGTAGGCAAACCAGACAATTTCCCTATCAACACTGACAAAGAAACAGCAAAAAAATACTTTTTACCCACAAGCATAAAGACGTTACATATATTAGAAATGAACACTTCCTCATTACTTTATTTTCCAGATCACCAGACTGGGCCACAGCAACACGTGGCAGGGGACGGCTAGTCTATATAAATAAAAATGTAATGTTCATTTGTGCGATTAACATAACTAAAAAACTACTGGACGAATTGACACTAAATTTGGACACAATACACCTATCAGGCCAATGAGTGACCATCACTCATAAAAACACTGGAAAATAATAATAATAAACTGGAAAAGCTGACACGATATGAGGATTTAAAGAGCCAGTAAAGGTGGCTCCAGTGGTGATCAGCACACTGGGTGCAGTGCCTGAAGACCTTGGCCTGCACTTAAACACAATCGACACTGACAAAATTACCAGCTGCAGAAGGCCACCTTACTGGGATCTGCACGCATTATTTGCCGATACATCACACAGTTCTATTCACTTGGGAAGTGTCCGACGTGTGATCCAATTCAACAGCCAGCAGATTATCTGCTGTGGACTCATCTTGTTGTGTTCCAAATAATAATAATAATTATTATTATTTATACCCTACCACCATCTCCCCGATGGGGACTCGGGGCGGCTTACATGAGGCCAAGCCCAACAATGCAATACAATAAATGAAATCAAAAACAACAAAATCAACAACATAATAAATTACATAAAACATAAGAATACAGCAAACAATATAAAATTACAATGATATTGTCTTTATTGTAAACTGTTTTTATATGTTGTACACCGCCGTGAGTCGCCCTAGGGCTGAGAACGGCGGTCTACAAGTGCAGTAAATAAATAATAATAAATAAATAAAATCATTCATAACACAGGAACAGTGAGCGGGCTTCATGTACAGAGTGAAATACTAAAGCTAAAAACACGGGGTGAGATAGAGATGGAGTAGATTGTTTGTGAGGGAAAACCTCTTCAGGAATGGAGTCGAGAAGGGACTTCGTGCAGGAGAGGAGGTGTACAAATGTTGAGGGATAATAGCAATATAAGATTGCATGGTTAATCTCCAAAAGCACAACGGAAGAGCCAGGTTTTGAGATTCTTCTTAAAACTTTCTAAAGTGGGAGCTTGCCTAATCTCACCAGGCAATGTATTCCATAGTTGGGGAGCCACTGAGGAGAAAACCCTCTCCCTTGTTCCTACAAGGCAGGCCTGAGATAACAGCAGGGGTGAAAGGAGAACATCCCCCGAGGATTGGAGGGATCGGGCAGGTTCACAGCAGAAGAGACTTAAAAAGCCAAAAAACAAAAAATACATTACAAAACATACGCAAAACCACTTTTATATATACGCAAACACACATATACACAAATATATATACACATATACACACACAAAACACATATACAGAGAGTGGGCACAGCAACGCGTGGCAGGGGATGGCTAGTAAAATATAATTTCATAGTATCTCCTTGTTAAAAACGTTGTCCAGACTCATTGTCTAGTCATTCCATTTTCCTATGTCAGTTACTCTGCATTTGCAAATGCTTGCTCAAAAAGCCATATCTTGATTTTTTTTTCTGGAATGTTAAAAGGGAAGTGGCCAATCTAATATTTATAGGGAGGGCGTTCAACAGCCGAGGGGCCATCATTGAGAAGGCCCTGGCTCTCGTCTCCGCCAAACGTACTTGTGACGAAGGCGGTAACGAGAGCAGGGCCACCCCAGACGATCTTAAGATCCTAGGTGGTTCATAAGGGGAGATGCGTTCGGACATGTAAGTTGGGCCAGAACCGTTTAGCAGTGGTTCTCAACCTGGGGTCCCCAGATTTTTTTTTGCCTACAACTCCCAGAAATCCCAGCCAGTTTACCAGCTGTTGGGATTTCTGAGAGTTGTAGGCCAAAAACATCTGGGGACCCCAGGTTGAGAACCACTGGTTTGGGGCTTTATAGGCTAAACCCAGCACTTTGGATTGTGCATGGTAGCATTTAATTAAATTAGCATTTAATGGCTTAGCAGTTTCAAGGTGCAGTTTCTACTGCCTGGGGGAATCCTTTATTGAGAGGTGATTAGCTGTTCCTTATTGTTTCTTGTCTGGAGCTCCCTTGTCTTTATTTACTGTTATGATTTTAGAGATGCAGGCGAAACGTCAGGAGAGAATCCTTCTGGATCGTGGCCATATAGCCCAAAAAACTTACAGCAACCCAGGGACGCATATCGTTATGCTACTGAGTTTCTTATTATTAGCCATCTTCCTGTGTCTTTTCATAGGGTGGAATCCAGCAGGTCAATATTTTGGTCCCTGAGTAAGCAGATACTAGAAAAACATGGGATAGACATGGGAAGCAGAAATGGGAACTAGATGTACATTGTGTTTGAGTATACAATTTTACATATATAATTCCATAATCAAATTATCACACATATGACATATCCAAAGCCACAAGTCATTGAGCCCGTGCCTGCTTTTGTTATTAGTAAATCCAGTACTCACCTGTAGTAGTGCTTGATATGTTTTTATTCATAAATCTAAGGGCTTGATTTTTTTCTAGCCTGTATTCGACTGACATCTATCAGGATTTTGCCAGTAAAATAACAGCTATGGATCTGTCCCAAGTGGTGTCTTGCCCTACCCATTCTGCAGGACACATTTTGGACCTTAGTTTCTGTTCAGGATGGGATGATGATAGTAGTGTGAAGGAACTGGTCACAGTTCTGTTGTCATGGACCAATCACTACCAGGTCAGGTTTAGATTCGCTGGGACTTCAAACCTCCGCAGGGGTGGGGGATCAATTAAGATGCTCCACCCCAGGAGGCTTATGAATCCGGATGGATTCATGTCACCTTGATGGGCAATTCTGTCAAAGCTCTGGCTGACCTCTGGGGAAATGGCCAGGACAGTGGACACAATCTCTCCTAAATGTCCTTTCTCACAAAGCAGAGCCAAACCAACCCCTTGGTTTTCCAAGGGGTTGGCAGTGATGAAGCACGTGAGACATAGGCTAGAGTGACGTTGGCAGAGAACTCAAAGCGAATCTGACACAGCACAGGCT